ACCCCTTCAATAATGTTTATTTGTGTAATTGAATGACTACTGTGCTTTTTTAAGGATGAACCATCGAAGGCTGAGTCAGAGCAGTGGAGCTTCGTTTGAAAAATATTGAGGTGAAGCTTTCTGAAGAGAATGAACAAGGACTGACTTACTTGAAGTTTACCAAACTTGTCCGTCACCTGATCGTGGAGGCCAACCCATCAGCAGCTCACACAAAAATCAATATGCACTTCTAGGAGCACTGTGGAGTGATTACAAGAAAAAGAAAGGTACAGGTGCTGTATGTTACACCTAATGTTCCAAGTCCAAAAAGCTCAGGTGGCAAAGCAAAGAAGCAAAAGAACCCAGCCAAAGCTTCCAAGTCTACAAAATCACAGGTTGGTGTAGGTACATTGCACTTTGTATGCAGTAAAAAAGGATAGCTATGTAGATCGTCACAATAAGTTGTAAATATTTGGACAAAATCCTATGATTTTGTCATTCAAATGAAAACCTTTTGGCAGAACGTTTGCGTGGTATTTCTTTAGCAACTATTAGTGTTGAAAAGGGTTACTGGGTTTGGATCTTTTGATAATCAAAAATGTAACCTCTTCATAGTAGAAAAATACGTCTGTTTACCACTAGAAACTGAACAGCTGCTGGAAGTGAGTTGTATTTTTGTGTGTCTTTGTTTTTACTCTAGAAAGAGGTTGTTGAGGTGGTGTCGGATGTTGACGAATCTGAGCCAGAGTCAGTTGTTGAGGCTATTGATAATGAAGATGATGAGGATGATGATGATGTTAGTGAGCCACAGCCTGATAATTCTAAATCCAGACCTAAAATTAAGCTGCTGTTTAAACCAAAGAAGGGTACTAAAGGTCAGTTAAATAACATAAATCTTGTTTTTCAATTTTGTAACTATTTAAAGTGGAACCCACCATAATGAAGTACCAAGGGTTTGCAAAATCGTTTAATGTAATTTGGAGAGGTTTAGAATCACATTAATGGCAAATGGCAAATGGCAAACAGCAATAATTCAACCACGTGACCAAGTTTTTCCGCTACTTTTTGTTTACATTTTCTTATATATATACACACATGAGTAAGCCTCATGTCATGTTTATCCATGAGACTGGCTGTTTAATTCCTTATTTTAGAAATAGTCAACTTTAATCTGGCATTTTCTGTTTGCCATAAATGTAATTCTAAATCTGTGCAATATATTGTGATGTTATTTAAAATGCCTTGTTCATTCATAGAAACTCTGGCAGTATTGTCCATTCAGTATGAAGATATGTGCTAAGTAAAGGTTTATTACCTTGTGGTTTGACTGTGTTCAAGTCATTTCTTATTATTCAACTTGGAGAAATATTATTTTTATCTTATGAAAGGTGAAAACTTTAAGAAAATAATATTATTATAAACAGCATGTATATGTTGTGGTTTAAATTTTTCCTTGGTTTAAAATTTTTCAAAGCTGTTTAATTTTTGTTTTTCTTTGTCTCTGACTATGGTAATTGATTTTAGACAAAGGAAAGTAAAAATTAAACTGGTTTGAAAAATTTTAAACCAAGGAAAAATTTGAACCACAACATATATAACAACCATAACTCTTTTTTATTTGGTGAAACAAATGATTAATTTTTAAAATCTGCTCTAATTTGTTTTTGTTTTTCCCAAGGTGACAGAAAATCTAAAATTGTAGATGATGACAGTGATCGGGGAAGTGAAGCTAGCTCAGGAAGTAGGTCAAAGAAGAGTAATGGTAGAGCTAGCACTAAAAGTAAGGGAAGCAAAAAGAAAGCTGTTGAAATAGCTGATGAAGATAGTGATGCAAGCCAGGCCAGTGGAAAAAGCACCAAGAAGAAGCCAGCCAAAAATACTGGGAAGACAAAGAAGGAAAGGACTGTCGTCAGAAAGAAGAAGAAAGAAAGAAAGAAAAGTACAGGTGAGAGATGTGAGTCTTTGTTGCAATTGTGATTCGAGGTTTGTGATTTCAGTAGATTTCCTTTTCCAGTAAAAAGAAGTTTGTGATCAGCCAAAAAAGCCAATCCTGATAAGTACAAATGTACATATATCTACAAAAGAATTTTAATGACACCAAAATCGAATTTAACTACTTTTTTCAATAATGTTAAAATGTTGCAAATTGAAAAATATGGAAAATTAAAAATTAACAAGCTTTTGAAGCACTTAAAAAGTCAAGTGGTGTATGCGCTTAAACCACTAAGTGGTTTAAGTGGACACACCACTGTCTTGATGTCTGTTGATGTCACAAGTCCTGTGACATCAAGAGAATTTGAAGGGACCCCAGTGCTCTTGAAATTGTGAAGTCCGGGGTGTCCAGCATATGCTTTTTATGGAAAAAAACCAAGATTCCCTATTTACCCAGGAGGAAAAATAGGGCGCTAGGCAGGGGCCACTGGGTGATTCCAGAGCACTTCCTTTTTCTATAACTCATGATCCTCCAGGAATTGTGGCTCCAACTTTCTACTAGTCCAAAAGCATTTTGTACTAGTGAAGCTGTGGACTATTGCTAAGGTTGAGAACTGTTTAGGTGGATTTTTTTATTTTAATTATTCATTTATCAGTGTGATGAATCTAACATGTTGGTTTTACATTGGTTTGTAGGAAATGATGAAGATAATGTCATGGGTGTGGTAAGTCATGATCACTTGGCAAACTATTTTAAAAGTATACTTCAGTCTTTATTAGGAAGCTTAACACGGTGTAGACAGCAGTGAACATTTCACTTTAAAATGAATTTTTGTTCTTTCAAACTCTATTGGTTTCATTTATTTAGCCTCTCTCATTTTGTCAAACGTGTATTTATCTTCAAAAAGAAAAAGAAACAATATTATTGTTGTCATGTGTTCCCATCCTCTATTAAATGTCTCATTACGAAGTTTTGCACTGTTATTGTACAGTGGACGTCAAGGAAATAACTAGCCTGCGTAGCTGGCGGTATTGTGTGGGTGCAAGATTCAAGTTTTGGCGGCAGAGCCGTGTTCCAAAAAAAGGGAGCAGGGACGAGGCAGTTGAAATACCGCCTGCCAGAAAACCCCAGTATTTTGAATAGTCCGCACACTAGTGTGCGGAGAAACGGATTGGTCGAGGGCCATACATATGTCAATCATGTTGGATGATCCTTCGCATATATTTCCCAATTAAGGGAGCAGATGGCAAACTGGAAAAGACGTAAGTGATTGTGTCTTCCCCTTTAAAAAGAGCATAATTGATGACCAAATTGCCGAAATGGCGGGTTTAAACTTCACAGCGCTGGAATTGTCTTTATTTGGCCGTAAGAAACAAAGGTCAAAGAAAATTAAAACACTTTTACAACTGCATCTGAGACCAAATCCTATCAAGAACACCTACAGAAGAATAAACCACAGGAAATGGTTACTCAGTATGCATGTAACAAACCAGCTTCATGACCTTTTAATGTTAAGCCTAGCTTGGCAAAAAAAGATTTACTCAGTCAAAGTTTAGAATGATACATCCACTGTGTAGTGCTAGTAACCGTCGCGTGAGAGCCGAGAAAATAAAAAAACTTCTGTTCAAGCAAACTCACGAGGTCACGTTTCACATTATCACGAGCTTAGGAGTCTTGTTTAGCCTGTCAGCACTTATTTCTAAACTGTCTTGCGCGAAAATAATCGGCTGATTTAAATGGGATCAGCTAAGGTGACAAAAATGGGCGGCATTCGAAAAATCATGGTTCTCTGGCAGGCGGTATTTCTCGCGGCTTCGCCGTTCGTGACGGCTCCACTGTCAAATCTCACTCGACTATATTACAACAGCTCCGCCGCCAAATCTCACTCGACTACTACACAATACCGCCAGCTACGCAGGCTAGGAAATAACCAAAATGCATGATGCACGCACAGAGTAGCCTGTGTACAGACGTCCCCCCTGCCTCAGACAAAATCGGGAGAAGAGACGTCTGTGAATTGCCGACGATAATTGTGTTCCTGTTTCCCTGGAATGTTGGGGACAGCCTCTGATTGGTTATAATGTTAATTATGCCATGATGCAAATAGTTTCCAGTGTTGTGATTGGTGAATGAATCTCAGAATAGATTCCCCGGGGAAAACCTTAGCCTTTGTGGACAGTTTACCGCATTTATATTTGTTTACTTGTATTTCGGCTCTCTGGAATGGGCATGTGAAATTAAGACCACTGATGTTTGCTGCATCAGTTGCAGGCGCATCTGTCTCTGCCGGATGGTATTGTAAAAAAAAAAGGAAGGATGTACAGAATTCAACTCTTAATCAGAGATCTTATATCTGGATTTTAGCATGGACATTGTGTGAAGCTGTTCGGCTAGCCTGAGTACAGACCCCAGGGCTATTTTTTGGCCTATACTGTACATGTGCTGATCGTGATTCGTAGAAAATAAAGGCAAAAGTAACGATCCTTTATGTGGAACCTACTTGAAATCATCGAATGGATCAACTCCTGCATAAAATGCTTGACTGGAGATGGAAACAGTACTTTTGAGATAAAACTTCTTTCAAACCAAAAACCACAGGAAATCGATGCACAGTAACAGACCGACTTTATAAATTATGATAAAAAAAATTTTAAAAGAAAACTTCAAAAGCATGATATACTAGTTGTGTGACATTTTAGGAAGATATTCTAGTTAGGACCTAGATGAGCTATAAAGGTTGAGAACATCCGAGAGAATAACTGCGTACATTCTCTTAAAGAGTCCCGAGTCTTGTCGGTCTGTCAACACCTTTTCAACTGTCAGATGAAACAACAACAAAATGTGATTTATAATGGTAATGTGTACTGGAACGTGATTAATGACAGTTATTCCCAGACGTCTCTTCTCCCGAAGAGGGAGGGGGGTCGTCTGTACGCAGGCTAGCACATAGTTGTTGTTTTATTTTTTTATCACTGCCATGGTCGTCGTGGCTGCTTAAGCTTCCTATTATCCCATTCAAATAAAAGTGTTTCTTGTTTCACGATGGAAGTTTTCTACTGATTGTATGTGTTATTGATGGTAGGATGAGCATCAGGACTACTGTGAAGAATGTGAAGAGGGTGGGGACTTGTTACTGTGTGACACCTGTACACTGTCTTTTCACTTGCGTTGTCTGGATCCCCCACTTGATGAACCTCCTCAGGGAAGATGGAGTTGTCCTGTCTGTGTAAGTTTTTCTTTACTTTTAAGAGGAATCCAGTGTCTGTGGTAGAGCCAAGGAATTTATATTAAGAAGTTTCTTTGTTGTAAAAGTTTTGAGTTGTTCAACTTGAGTAGCATGAACGAGGCTTCTGTTCAGTTGGAAGCAATGTGCAGAGTAAACTATTTTATAACCAATCTAGTAAACTGAGGAACAGCGCTTGGTAAATTCCACTTAGATAGGAGTAGGGTCTGCTGAGGGGATCAGTGCCCCTCTACTTTGTTTTTACCAACGAAGCATGATGCCTCCAGACTTATCCTTAAAAATGGCATGCCGCTAAAACCTCCCCCCCCCCCACACACCCCAGACAGAGGTATATATATACAAAGTAGAATCCTGGTAACTAGAACTCTGAAGGGAACTAAAAACAGTTCAAGTTAGCAAGGGTTTGAGCTAACGGGGTCGATTTCAAAATTCAATTTTCCACATTAAAAATTGATAATTACTGATTTTTCAGCAGGTCAGATTTTGTCAGAAAAGGTCAGAAGAAGATTCCCGAAGAAGTCCGAAGTCTTCCGAAGACGTCCGAAGTCTCCCGAAGTCTGCCAAAGGCGAGCTCGCTCCCAGTGCTTTTCACTTCAAAAATCAGAGATCGCGAGGAAGGTATTGCCATTTATTCATTTTACACATGGTTTTCGTTCCTTAACGTATTTTTGGAAATTGTGTCAAGCAGGACGGCAAC